GTGGACAATAAGTACAGTGAACATAAGACAGTGAATGTGGACAATAAGTACAGTGAACATAAGACAATGAATCTAGGCAGTAAGTACAGTGAACATAAGACAATGAGTCTGGGCAATAAGTACAGCAAACATAAGACAATGAATCTGGACATTAAGTACAGCAAACATAAAACAATGAATCTGAATAATAAGCACAGTGAACATAAAACAATGAATCTGAATAATAAGCACAATGAACATAAGACAGTGAATGTGGACAATAAGTACAGTGAACATAAGACAATGAATCTGGACAATAAGTACAGCAAACATAAGACAATGAATCTGAATAATAAGCACAATGAACATAAGACAGTTAATGTGGACAATAAGTACATTGAACATAAGACAATGAATATGGGCAGTAAGTACAGTGATCATAAGACAATGAGTCTGGACTTTAAGTAAAGCAAACATAAAACAATGAATTTGAATAATAAGCACAGTGAACATAAAACAATGAATCTGAATAATAAGCATAGTGAACATAAGACAATGAATGTGGACAATAAGTACAGTGAACATAAGACAATGAATCTGGGCAGTAAGTACAGCAAACATAAGACAATAAATATGGGCAGTAAGTACAGCAAACATAAGACGGTGAATTTGGACATTAAGTACAGCGAAAATAAGATAATGAATTTGGACAATAAGTACAGAGAACATAAGACAATGAATCTGGGCAATAAGTACATCAAACATAAGACAATGAATCTGGGCAATAAGTACAGCAAACATAAGGCAATGAATTGGACAATAAGTACAGCAAACATAAGACAATGAATTGGACAATAAGTACAGCAAACATAAGACAATGAATCTGGGCAATAAGTACAGCAAACATAAGACAACGAATCTGGGCAATAAGTACAGCAAACATAAGACAATGAATCTGGGCAATAAGTACAGCAAACATAAGACAATGAATCTGGGCAATAAGTACAGCAAACACACGACAATGAATCTGAGCAATAAGTACAGTGAACATAATACAATGAATCTGGGCAATAAGTACAGCAAACATAAGACAAAGAATTTGGGCAACAAGTATGCAAATATAAGACAATGAGTCTGGATAATAAGTACAGCGAACATAAGACAATGAATCTGGACAATAAGTACAGCGAACATAAGACAATGAATCTGGAAAATAAGAACAGTGAACATAAGAGAAAACAGTATCATGTTCAACAACTAAATCTGGTAAGTAAATACATTGAACATGAACTACATCAGTAGTTTTTCAAACACGTTAATCACTCCTCCATTTTTCCAGGTGGCTCAGTGGTAAGTCGTGGGGCTTCTAACAGTAAAAATTGGGTTTTGATACCCAATGTGGGAAAAACATAGTTAGCCTATTGTGTAGATTTCTGCTTAACAACAAACAAAAACAATTCATCCTGGTCAGTATATTTGCTAAACGCAAGAAACAACAATGAAATGTTTAAGAAGTAAATGTATTAAAACAGTAGAAGTTAAATATTTCACATGCTTGGTGTGTTTACATTGTTAAAGTATTTCACTTTCCTATCTTGTGTTTACACTTTCCTATCTCATGCTTGGGTTAAATATTTCAAAGAGAATCTGTCAGTAAAAACACTGAAAATGGAACATAACAATGATTGTTGTAACATGTCAGTGTGGTAATCAATAAACTAAACAGTAAATCTGGTCAGTAGGTACACTAAATGTGATACAGAATATTGGCATATTTAACAAGTAAATCTGGTCAGTAGGTACAACACTAAATGTGAGATGGAATAATGGAATATTTAACAAGTAAATCTGGTCAGTAGGTACAACACTAAATGTGATACAGAATAATGCCATATTTAACGAGTAAATCTGGTCAGTAGGTACAACACTAAATGTGATACAGAATAATGCCATATTTAACAAGTAAATCTGGTCAGTAGGTACACTAAATGTGAGACAGAATAATGCCATATTTAACGAGTAAATCTGGTCAGTAGGTACACTAAATGTGAGACAGAATAATGTCATATTTAACGAGTAAATCTGGTCAGTAGGTACAACACTAAATGTGATACAGAATAATGCCATATTTAACAAGTAAATCTGGTCAGTAGGTACACTAAATGTGATACAGAATAATGCCATATTTAATGAGTAAATCTGGTCAGTAGGTACAACACTAAATGTGATACAGAATATTGGCATATTTAACAAGTAAATCTGGTCAGTAGGTACACTAAATGTGAGACAGAATAATGCCATATTTAACGAGTAAATATGGTCAGTAGGTATACTAAATGTAAGACAGAATAATGTCATATTTAACAAGTAAATTTGGTCAGTAGGTACACTAAATGTGAGACAGAATAATGCCATATTTAACAAGTGAATCTGGTCAGTTGGTACACTAAATGTGAGACAGAATAATGTCATATTTAACAAGTAAATATGGTCAGTAGGTATACTAAATGCGAGACAAAATAATGCCATATTTAACAAGTAAATTTGGTCAGTAAATATAATAAACTTGAAGAAAAGAATGCAATCCTTAAGAAGTAAACCTTACCAGTAAACAAACTAAACATTATAGAGAATGATGGCTTATTTATTAAGAGAATCTGGTTAGTAAATACAGTAAACATGATACGATTAATGAACTATTTACTAAATGAGCTTCGCCAGCAAATACACTAAACATGATATAAACAATTACATTACTGAAAAATGAATCTGAATAATAAATGCAATGAACATAAGACAGAAATATGACATATCTAACAATGCAATCTGGTCAGTAAATATGCTTTACATTAATCGTAACAGTGGTATTTCTAACAAATGAATCTGTTTAGCACGTACAGGAGAATATAGGACAGAACAATGATAATTTCAACAAGTCTGATCAGTTTATACATTGAATATGAGGCAAAAAACAATTGTATTTATAACAAATAAATCTGGTCAGTAAATATACTAGATATGAGATAAAACTGATATCTTTAACAAGTTAACACACTAAGCATAAGATACAACATTGGCATCTTCTGATATAGAAATTTGGCCAGTAATTTAGTAAATTCACTGAACATTAGCTAGAACAATGACATTGATAATAGGAGAACCTGGTTAGTAAATTCACTGAACATTAGCTAGAACAATGACATTGATAATAGGAGAACCTGGTTAGTAAATTCACTGAAAATTTTCTATAATATTGCTATTTTTAACAAGTGAATCTGGTTAGTAAATTCACCAAACTAAGCTGATACATCCGGCTGATTCAAGGTTGTTG